GATTGCAAATACCTCATTACTTTTATGTTAGGTCATAGTTAAACAGAAATACCCACAAAGGGATTGTAAGTGTTCTGCTGGTGGAGAAATCAACATAAAGATATGATTCTAATATTTAGACTTTAGTTTTAACTTAAATCCTTCATTCTCTAGTTGACCTATTCATAAGCTGTACAGGTTCCATAATATCTATATTTTTTGACTACAGGAAGTACTCATTTTTTGTGGAAGAACATTCTCATTTAATTGTCATTTTAATTTCAACTGTATGCAAGAGTACATGGATACAAATGTATATATTTATGTAACTTTGGGCTCTGAAACATACTTCTTATACAATAAATTACAATAAATGGATGATTATCACTCATGTATCATATAAAATTCAATGAGTGGATTAAGAACATGATATTCTGTTTGGGTCTTATAGCCAGAAACTGAGAATAATCTCTCATTTATCATCATCATTTTGAGGTAAATATTGTAAACCAATATACTTTATCCTATCTAAGATTTGAGGTGCTATGTAAAATATATCTTCAATTTATTTGGATACATATATATGTCATATTTGATATAGTGACTTAATATCCTCCCTTTAAATCATAAACTTATGATGGGTTGTTTTTTAGAAGCTTTTATTATTATGTTGAGTGAATTTTGTTCAGCCCCTTTTAATTCAAAGTTAGCATCACTGAAGCATTTCTCATCTAAAAATCAAACAATTCTTCCTTTTCTCCCAAGACTTTTAAAATTGAGCAGAAGCTTTCTCAAGTGATCCAGCTATTATTTTCTCTTCCTTTCACAGAGGAAGAAATGTCTGCTACATCATAGGCTCATAGGGAGAGTTTTCAAGGTTTCATGGAGTTGCTGCCACAGTGGTAAAGTTCTTCCTTTCTGAGTAGTAGAAGTTTTCTGTTCTTCAAGCTAAAAGAATATTATTACTTCAAGTAGCTTGAGTTGATACACACAATGTAATTTTATGAGACTACATTTTAAAGTTTTCTCCAATGATCTCATAGTAGTTATAAATCATCATTGTATAATATCAAATTTTAATAGACTTTGATATTTTAAAGGAAGCTTGCATCAAAATTGATAAGCTCTATCGATAACTCAACTTTATTTGAAAAAATTAGTTAACATCTCTGAATATCTGCCTTGTTATCTTTTTACAAAATTTATGAAAATTTAATTAGCATAAATATTCCATGCAACCAGCAAAATAGGAATAATTTTTGATAATATTATTTTATATTATACTAAATATTCAAATTTCATGTTTTTTAGTTATTTCATCAAATAATCAAGAAATCTTCAGGTCTCAGAAACTTCATGTAGAATTATGTTTGATCATGAATTGAGCTATTAGTACCAATATAGTTTAGTTTTAATTCTTTCCAAATCTTTATGAACTGAACTGAACTGTCCAGAGATGTTTTATTAAATTTAGTATCCTTGCAGATTTATGATTAAATCAGCCTTAAGGCCTCCAAAATCCTTTTCTTTTTTACATGAAGCATTCCATACTGACCTTTGAGTAATACATACAGGTGAAGTGTGCTACCTCACCACAGTAATAGAGTGTAGTCCATAAAGAATCATTTTTGAGATAAATGTCCTGCCTTCTGTAGGAAAATCACATTTCTTAGATTAAAGAAATGATGCACTTCATCTGTCTTCCTATTAGAATCATTCATTCTGAAGTGGCCATACAATATTTAAAATACTTATACAGGCTTTGGCAACAGAAGCAATATTTAAGATGGTAATTATAATTATGCTTGAAAGTATGAGGAATAAAAAGATACTTCTAACAAAGTGTTTTGGTTTTTTTTTAAATCAAGTCAGTGTAGAAACTCAGGTCCTTGTGAATGCTAGTCAAATCTTCTATCACTGATCTACATCTCAATCTCCTAATAACTATTACTTATTCATTAAAGGGACTACGACAGTTATTAACCAACTGAAATCTTGGAATTTAAAGAATAGAATATAGTGGATTTATATATGTAAGAAATTAAATTTATGAAAGTTTTGTGTGAATTCAGACAAATGCAAATACAGAAAGATTTAGAAAACTCACAATGAATAATTTCATTAGACAGGAATTTATAGTTCTGCCATTGAGAAAGGAGAAAAGTCTAGCTGCAGATAAAACACTGGCTCATTTGTCTCCCTGATCTTGGCCTGGGTATTTTATCTCTTAAAAGTTCTGTACAGGGACTTGGTAGAGGTAGGTCCCTCCAGAGGAAATATAATCTAGATTTTCAAACTCTGGGGTAGGAATTAAATATTTTACATTATTTAGATGAACAACAAGAATTCAAGAACATTTCCATTGTGTATGAAATAAATTCATCCATCATAACAAAGAAAAATGTTATGCATTCTAATAAACTTCAAAATGTAACTAAGTGCATGAAAAAATAATAAAGAGATAATGAAGCTTGTCAAGCTATTTCCTTTTAAATTTTTTCATATAATGTGTATGATCATATTCTTTCCTTCCCCCAACTCTTCCCACATAATCTTCACTTCCCTACCCTATTTCACATTTTCTATTTACCACTCCCCACTCTTTGCCACTGTCTCTCAAAAAATGAAAAAAAATCAAGATAATTAATAATAAAAACAAAACAAGGCAAAATATAACAAAAAAATCTCACAAACAACAAAGCAAAGCATGGGGTCAATTTTTTGTTGGCCAACTTCTTGCTTCTGGGCCCCTAGCCTGCCCTGGAATGGTTGGTATGTCCAGTGACATTCCATCAGAGAAAACTGATTTTTGCCTTTCCAAGCAAGTTTCAACTGTAGCTAGTTTCTTGCTTAGAGACAGGACTTTGTGGTTTCTTTTCTTTCTCCCTGCAGGGATTTTGATGCTTTGAATTAAGGAAACAATGTCCTCTAGACATGACTAGACTGATACAACTATGAGCTCATATTATTTGACTTTGTTTCTGAGTTTTTTTTCTTTACATCTTGTATCCACAGTGCTTCAATAGTGTATGGACCTTTTCTAAGTATTTACTGAAGTTTGACTAAATGGTGTTTTCATAACTACAAAAGGAAGTAGGCAATGTAACTTCAATGTAGTTGAAGACTTATGTTGTCTTTGAGCATAGACAACATTTCCCAAGTCATGATTCCACCATTCTCTTCATCAGGAACAATGGTTGTATTGTATCCCTGGAGATAGAACTATGTATTTCATTTACTCATTGTAGAGTGAGTCACTCTTATCACTGCTTGCTACTTAGAGGTACTACTGGATGTCAATTACATTCTTTTCACATCTTTCTTTCTTTCTTTCTTTCTTTCTTTCTTTCTTTCTTTCTTTCTTTCTTTCTTTCTTTCTTTCTTTCTTTCTTTCTTTCTTTCCCCTGCACCTCGCCTGGGCAGCGCAATAGAACTGACTCTGTTGGTGGAGGTGTACATGAGCCAGCCTCAAAGTTGTGGTCATGGGAGAGCTCTTCCTACTACTCACCTGTCTTATGGTGGCAGGGGTGTGGGAGAGATACTCTCCCTCCCTCCCCCTTACCCCTGCCCATCAAGGCCCAAGGTGAGTGGGAGAGCTGGCTTGGCATCAGCTGCAACACTGGGCAAACAGGCCCCGCACCTCACTTGGGCAGCACAAAAGAGTCAAACCTATTGGCAGAGTTCTGGTTTAGCTAGCCCCAAAGCTGTGAGACCCATTTCCACTACTTGTCTGTCATGTGGAGATGTGGGTGGAGTAGAGATGCACCGCTTTATACTCCACCCCTGACTGCCTGCAGCAGATGAGCAAGGTGATCATCCTCCTTACCAGCTGCAGCACTGGAGAAAGTGGACCCTCCACCGCACCTGGGCAGCACAGTAGAGCTGGACCTGCTGTCAGAGGTGTGGACAGTCAGCCCCAAAATAGTGAGTATGGAAGACCTGCCTCCATTATGCATCTGTCATGTGTTAGCATGGGTGGGACAGAGATGCCCTCTCTGTCCCTGCCCATCAAGGCCTGAGGCAGGTGGAAGAGCTGGGCCTGAGGTCAAAAGAGTGGGAGAGCTGTTTCTGCCCCTCATCAGCTGCAGCACTCCAGAGAGTGGCCCCAACACCACTCCTGGACAACACAGTAGAGCGGGACTGACTCTGGGGATGTGAAAGCAGGAGAGTCCTAGTGAGGGCTCAGCATTGATGATGTAGCAGAGAACGGAGGTCTTGAAGTAGACCAGTGATTCTTTGCCATGAAAGCCTACATGTAAAAATGTATGAATAAAGGGATTTACTGTGTGACTCACTGTGTCACACTGCAGCTTCTATGGTGAGATTTTCCCTTCCTCCCTTTTTAAAAATCCTTTCTTCTTTTAAATTTTATTTTGTTCTATTCTGTGGGCAGTGTGAGAAAGGATGGGGTTGTGAGGCATGATGTGAAAGATGCAAGGAATACATAAAAAGAAAGTTAAAAAATAATGATAAAAACTCCTTTAATACATTTGTATACATATGGAAAAACTACTTTTTTGAAGTCTGTAGTTCCAGAGACATCTCTGCCCAGCTATGCTATCTAAAATGGTGAGCTTCGGGTTTAGTGAGAAATCCTTTCTTAGAGAAATAGGGGGAGACTGGTAGAGCAGGATCCTTTATGCCTAGCTCTGGCCTCTTCAGAAAGTTACACACACACACATGTAGAACCACACTACACACACACACACACACACACGCACACACACACACACACACACATACACACACACACACACACACACACACACACACACACGCACACACACAAAGTAAGTGAAGAGTAAGCAAATAAAAAAACAAAATTCCATGAATAAATACCAGTTGTACATAATACAACATAGCATGATATTCTACAGATCATCGGACAGTTGTGTGAAATCCAGACTACTGATACACAGACATTGGCAGAGTAGGTAGACTGGGTTTACCTAACCGTTTTCTTTCCTATCTGAGCATGCTACATGTGCTCACCAATCTTTTTTTTTTTTCTCATTTATTTGTAAGGAGAGAGCATGAATACAGTTCCTCACTACCACAAATTATGTAGTTGAGTTTCCTGAATTTGGGGAAATTGCAAGGGTTAGCACATCCTGAGTGAATTATCCTCACCCTAGGAAACCCATCTTCACGATATTTGTATCTCCCCTGCTAGGTAAGTATGTGCTCACTAATGCTAATTTTTATTTAGTAGTAGAATTCTGAATTATGCCGATGAAACATGTAGTCTATATGAATGTTCTCAAAATAGTAAGCTTCTTTTTTCTTATTTGTAAGTATTTTGTATATTTTACATGGGTTGTTAATTTCATTTTTTTAATCTGTCCTTTCACTTGAAATTATGTATCAGAAAGCAGGTAAGTTTAAAGATCTGACCTTGCTCTACATTCTGTTGTTGTTGTTGTTGTTGGTCAACGACCCATATATAGTTTGAAGCTTTAAAAGATAATGGAGGTCTAGAAGTTCAGTTTGAGATACGACTAATTTCTCAAGATTTGAAGAACAAATTACACGTGAAAGATGACACTGTTGTAATAATGGGTGTGAGAAAATGAGTTCTATTTTCTGTCATTAGATCTGTAATTTCACAAACAATGTAGCCTAAATTCTAATACCTGTAACGTGAGTGGAGAGAGTTTGGGTGTTTACTGACACAATCACAGTGTGACTTTGACAACTTTTCAGAAGGCTGATGGTTTATGTAAAAATCTAAATCATCAAAAGAATCCCACGAAACCATTATCATCACATTTTAGAGCTTATTGGAAATTTTTTGACAGTTGAGTTCATCAAAACTGACAACTAACAATTATCAACATTTCTCCTCACTATAGACTCAAAGAAAAATACTGACTACACCCAGCATTTAAGACCCCAGGAAATGTCATTGTTTCTTTTTTCTCTTAAGAAGATATCAATTGAGATTAACAAAGCACATGGGTTAATATCTTGGTGTGCATAATTGAAGGAATATATGGAAGACTCAGAGTCAGATTCCATAACAATGAAGAGTTAAATAAATGCTGCACAACCAACGCCTTCAACAATGGTGTGAATTCCTATTCATGGAGCAAATTTTATTTAATACTATTCTGTATTATAAAATTAAAATTTATTAATGACTTTAATAGATAATGTTTAAGGTTTTAGAAATTCTAAAGTTAAAAGAATAAATATTAATTATTTTCACTGTATACTATAATAGCAAATCATTACAATTTTAAATGTTTGTATGACTTGCTATTTTGGCATTGCAAGTGTAGACTCACCTAACACACTTAAGTGAGACTCCTCTATGAAAGATAAAAATCAAAGAATCTGTGATTATGAATGTGGTTTGGGAATGGGGCATTGGCATTTTGTAGAGTATCAGCATTAAAACTGAGTTGATATGGAATGGAAATAACGGCCAACATTATTTTGCTTTAGGTAGTAGCTTTAAGACAGGAGGGAATATCAGAAAGAAGCTACAGAAATTTCAGTATATAGGTATTCATAACAAAAAAAGAAATAACATGATTAATCCCCATAAAGATTCCAATGCAATTCTTTACAGATATTAAAAAAAACCATTTTCAGTTTCATATGGATATCCACACATACACACAAAACAAACATAATAAAACAACAAAAAAAAACCAGGGTAGTGAAAATATTCCTGAATAATAAAAGAACTGCTGGAGGTACCACACCACTAACCTCACATTGTACTACAGACAACATGGCATTGGAAAAGACTTTGTGAACAGAACACTATCAACACACTGGAAATAAGATCAGTCCTTAATAAATGAGAAGTCATGAAACTGAAAACATGGCAAAGGACACCACCATTTGGACAAAGCTGCATGCTTCAGAATGGGAAAAGATTGTTACCAACTGCACATCTGATAGAGGGCTAATATCCATAATATATAAAAAGAACTTAAAAAGTGATTATCAAAAAACCTCATGTAACCCAATTTAAGAAATTTAAACAGGGAATTCTCAGAAGAAGAAACACAAATTGTTGAGAAATATTTAAAGACATTTCAACAGCCTTAGTCATTAGGGAAATACAAATCAAAACTTTGTGATCTCATCATAAACCAGTCTAAATGGGCAAAGACCAATAAAACAAATCACAGCTCATTTGTCGAAGATGTGGAGCAAGTGAAGTACTCATCCTTTGCTGGTGGGAGTGAAAATGTGTTCAGTCACTATGGAAATCAGTGTGACAGTTCCTCAGGAAGTTGGGAATTGATGTACCTTGACCACCAGCTATACTGCTTTGGGAATATACCCTAATTACTCTCTATCCTATCACAAAGACACTTGTTCAACCCTGTTCATTGCTGCTCTATTCATAATAACCAGAAACTGGAAACAGCCTAGATGTCAGTCAGTGGATGAGTGGATAAAGAAAACGTGGTACATTTACACAATGGAATATTACTAAGCTATTTAAAAAATCTTGAAATTTTCAGATAAATGGATGGAGAGGAAAAAAAAATCATCCTGAGTTAGGTAACCCAAATCCAGAAACACAAATATTGTATATATTCAGTAATAAGAGAATGCTAAGTCTTAAGTCTTCTATAATCAGGCTACAATATATATAACCACATAGGTTTGGTATACAGTAAGTGACTGGGGGAAAGACTGGATTACCTTAGGAAGGGAAAATAGAACAGATAGTTAAGTACAGACAGGGAAGGGAAGAGAAGGGAGAATAGGATCACATAGGGAGGCAAATAATAGTGAAGAAAATAGGGAAGGGATAGCTAAAACTAAGTCATTTGAGAGGTCATATGGAAACTTAATATAGTAGAAGCTTCCTAAAATATATACATATATGAAGACTAAATTGAGTAACCAAATAAAATGAAGACAGTTACCCAACTGATCATCTCCAGCCACCAAATGAAGCCTCCAGTTCTGGAAATAGGCTACATCTACATTTTTGGACAAAGGAGCCTCATGGGAAACTCCAGAGAACTCAGGCTATTGCCAAGGTTATTTTTTGCTCTCCACACACAGAGGACGAGTTTCTATTGCTGAAGACAACACCTACACAACTAATGAACTCAGGGAGGTGGAGCTGGTGACAATCTAGAGCCTTGACTCTTACTGACTAGTGTTCATGGTACTGGGAGGCACTCTGCATGCTAACTCAGGAGAAAGGTAAATACTAACCCTGATACAAATCCTTTGAAGTGATGGCCTGCCTGCAAGATGTACTAGTGGAGCAGTGGCACAAGACTTCTGAGAGTAACTAACCAGTATCTGATTGAACTTAAGACCCACTCTGCGAGATGGAAACCCTTTATGACTCTACTGGGGTGACCAATAACCTAAGACTTGATAGGCCAGTTTATGGAGAAAGAGAGTATTTATGATTCTATTTTATTCTCTTTCACCCACTCAAGGTTCAGATTTTAATCTAATAATACTTGTGCTTGTGTATGTATGTAGAAACAGATGTGAATAGATTAGAGGTGGGAATTTATCTGTTAGATTGAATTTATTCTCAAAGGGAAAAAGGCCAACAAATTGTAATTTATTCTTCCTTACCAATTGTAAACTTATGCTGCACATTCTTTCAGTCAGGTGTTGGCTGCATCACTAAATTTAACCTTATTTCTGATGTACTGCAAAACGTTCTTCTAATGCAGGTCCACCATTCTAGAGTTAAGAATAACATATAAAAGACATTTCAATAAATTTAATTGAGTGGCTATTTTGAAAACCTACAATTTTACTGTAAGTGAATGCTGGATACACTAAAAAGAGATCAGTAAACTTCTACAAAACAATACTAAAACTAAATTAAAATCACATAATGAATAATAACTAAAGGATAATGGTAGATGACGTTATTGTAGGCTTGCAGTCACAGAATCATTTTTTTCATTTACTAGCAAGAATTTCATATGCTTTACACCTATCACTACTTTTTATTGGCAATATTAATTCACATGAAACATTTTCCCTTTGTAAAGAACTTTATCATGTAAAATTTTACTGTCACATGATTGATTTTAAATTTATTCCTCCTATAGACAATTGAGATTTCTGAGATATTGTCTTACTCTGAAGGTCATGTTTTGAGGGATTTTTCAGGGAAATAGCCTGCCATTAACTCAATGGTAGATTTTCTGAGCTAAAATTGTAGCCATATTGTTATTCCAGTTTTTGAAAAAAAATCTCTGACTCTGAAATGTATTTAATAATGTTCTAGGTGTGTGTGTGTGTGTGTGTGTGTGTGTGTGTGTGTGTGTGTGTGTGTGTATGTGTATGTGTGTGTGTGTGTGTGTGTGTGTGTGTGTGTGTGTGTGTGTGTGCCCCTGTTAGCTTCCATTACATTAGGTACAAGAATTAGACTATTACCAAATGATAGTGAGAGGGATAGTCAGTTTAGTTACTGCAATCCAATTACTTGCAGGAAATGTGGCATAACCTAATGTAGGATAGTGATCTGTGCACAAGGAGAAAAAGATTGTTGAGAAAAACTTTTCAATGTCTCTAAAATTAATAATGGCACAGTTTCTGTTTAAATTGGAGTATGTTATTTCAATAAAGCTTTATTTCTCTAGGAAATAATACCTGTGAATGGAAATAGAAAGGAAAGACCTTGCAGGCTGGTGTATAAAGGCACAATGGTGAGGCATTGCTTGAGTCCAACTCATTACATGTATGAATTCATAATATCAACTCTCAATAATATCACTAAGTATCAGCAATTAAGTACCAGCAATAATACTCAGAAGTATGATGAGACATGAAGAATGCATCTCTTCTTGGGTTTCTGATTGAAATAATATCTAAAACCATAATCACGACATGTTCAAAAGTTCTGGAAAAGTGAGACACTCAAAATTAGTTGAAATTTTTCTCATTTACCTTGCTACTTGGTTTAATTTATTCTGTGTTAAAAACTAAATTTAAAAGTCTCATAATCCACAATCTCAATCAATGTGTTTAAAAAACAAATATGGACCAAGTATGGTAGCACATGTCTTTAGTTCTAGCATTCAGGAAGCAGAGGCAAATAGATCTCCCTGTGTTTGAGACCAGCCAGTAGTATATAGTGAAGTCCAGACCAAGGGAGTTATACAGTAAAACCTTGCATTAAAATAAATAAACATTCTTTAAAAATTATTAGAGTACAGCCTAGTATACAA